TGGATTGTGGTGATAGTGGGGTAAGGGTGGTCAGTGGTTATGCTGGATTTCAATGTGCATAAGTCGGTACCCATGTGATTCTGCTGTTGTTTTTCTAAGGACATGTTAGCTAAGTTTTTGTTACCTTCTTCTTCTTCCCCTCCTTACATGAGCATGGAGATGGGCTTTTTTTTTATTCCTTTTAAAGCATGGTTTTGTGGTGACGGATTAGTGTTATCTACCTTTTTCACGTTTTTATGTACATCTAGATCTAGAATTCAGTGAATTATTATTTTGAATAGAACATGGCACCACAACATCATCCTCATTGGTAGCACTTGAGAACTTGGTTCATCTTTTAAAATTCCTTGGGTTTGTCTGTCTGTTCTTTGCTCGTATCTGCTTCGGTGTCTTCTTGTTTGTCTTCTTTCTCAAATCTCAATGTTGGGGAACTACCGAAACTCGCCTGTCATTCTAGTGACATGGGAAGCTTGAATTTGTACGAGTTGTAGCAACCATCATGTCATCGATAAGGGATAAGGGTTCATGTCATCGATAAGTTTTACTACTGAGGTATGAGATTAATGGGTTAAATGTTCAGATGTCATGTCATCGAAAGGATAAATCTGTCATCACAACTGTAAATCATTGCATGATTAATGACATAACGAGGTGTGTTTGAATAAATTGACATTAAGTTGAAATTATTCTTAAAATTCCAAGCGGTATCATATAAAAAAAGGTACCATTATTGGAGCCTGGTACAAGGTGTAGGCCTGTTTAGCATGTGAGTATGTCCGTTCTTTTGTCTTATCAACTTTTCTAGATAAGGATTAACATCTCTAAATATCACTCCATTATTATTCTTTCCTAATCTTCTTCCAATCAAAACTTGTTTGGATTTTTGTTTGTAAGCCTTCAAAATCAGAGAATGAGATCACGCGGGGAATACTTGTTACTTTTGTTTCACAAACAGGAAAGGAAAAATGGAAATTGTAAGGCATGTGCACGTTGAGTCCAGGGGGAAGGAGCACTACTATTCTCTTTGAATTTATTGATGTCCAACTTATACATAGTATAAATGCTGCTGCAAATTAAATAAATGAATGGGTCATGTAATATAATAAGATTGGCTCTGTCAATGTGTTTGATTCAGGTGTAGGCAATAAGTCAAGTGAGAATACGCCTTGGAAGTATCGATTCCATTGGCCCTGGGCCATTAATATTCACACCAAAGCCCACCAGCTCTTGAAGATTTTTTGTTCAGGATTTGGAACATCAAATGAATACCCACATCACATGCTACACATTTTTTTTAAGTACTGCTTAGTTCAAAACGTCATATTTATTTTATGTATAATTTTCTTAAAGATTTTATGCTCTTTTTGTCAGTCGTAAATATGTAATCTTAATCGCTTTGTTGTGTGTTCTGTGCTGCATGTTGTAACGGTCATTGATTTGGGTTGTCCCAACTTTGATTATTTATCTGTCGGTGGAAAGCCAATGTCTTGAAAAAAACAAACCACATGGCTTTTGGTCATGCACAATTCCCTTCTAGGCATGCATTTTGATTTCAGTAAAAAGGGGAGGAATATACCATTGCTTCATTAAAATATCTTCACTATTTCAACCGCCGGATTATGTCGGGATCAATTGCTCCTAATTCAATTCATTATTTGGATTTTAAATCCTTCTTTTAATACCTGAATCCTGCAACAAATGATGATTTTGGAGAACCTTACAATTCATATTAAAGACTTCAATTTATAAAGAGTTTTCACGTTTTCATTACTTTTTTAATTAATTCCAAACAAAAATAAAAAATAATAGATATAATGTTTTAAATAATTCATGAAGTAATGTGCCCACGTCATCATCAACGAAATATGATAATTTGATTAATTATAGCTTGTCAATTTATAAAGAGTTTTCACGTTTTCATTACTTTTTTACTTAATTTCAAATAAAAATAAAAAATAATAGGTATAATGTTTTAAATAATTCATGAAGTAATGTGTCCACATCATCATCAACTATGCCACATTAGCAACATATGACGAAATATGATAATTTGATTAATTATAGCTTGTCAATATTAATTATAATAGTTAAAGATTCAGAGTTTATGTCTAATTGATTCAGAATAAAAATATAAAAACTTGATTGAATATAATAAATAAATAAAAATTTATTTAAATTTTTTAAAATAGTTTAAAAATTTTAATAAGTATTATGCCAAAACAATCCTATTTAGGTTATAGTTTTAAGTGTTTTTTTGTCAATAGGAAAAACAGATATTTAAATTATACAGACATTTATCATTATATCAAATGTTAGATTTATAATTTTAATAATTGAATAAAAAAGTGTCGCACTAAAAAACTCTTACCTTGCTCATAAAGTGAAAAATTGGTGGAAAATAGGACCAAAAAACAAATGAATAAAAATTAAAAAAATAAAAGAAAACAAATAGAAAAAAGAAGAAAAGAGAATGGATCTGCGAAGGGCACATGTTCAAAACATTACCATTATTCTTATTTAGCATTTTACGCTATTTTTCCTCTTGCAATTCTCTCTGCTTGCTTTTGTTTGCACAAATCAACTATCTTGTTATCAATATAATCTTTTTATCCAATTAAATGAATTAATTAATGTACTAAATTTGTATTATTTTTAGTAAAATATGTGCTAAACTTGATTGCTTAACTGTATTATGATTGGGGTCCAAATTGCAACCTCAATTTGTCCCTTTCTCCTTTTTATACAAGCATAAATTCCGTACCTCGTTGAAAATTTCTTCAACCCAATAGCCCAACTAAAGACCCAAAATCCATAAACCTCAACCCAGACCAACCTACATGTTGTTTACATTATCAAAGAATTTTCACTACAATTTGAGCAGAATAAGTCCATGTTGGTTTGTTTCGACCAAGATGACATGAAATTGATACCCCTGTATGTTGGTTGAAGGATTGAAATTGAATTTTTTATTGGAAGTATGCCTCCATTTCCTCTGTTTCCTTTTAATGATTTGAAATCTCAACAATGCGCAGACGATTTTGACGTCAACAAGTATTTAATCAAAGGACGAAAACAGAGCAGTTTGATGAACTTGATATTCGTCCTGGGTTTTCTAGAAAAGCTGCTGTTGATGCTGCTCTGTGGTAGTCTTCAGAAAGGAATCACCAGAGTTCAATGAGAGTGAAAGAGATGGTCATCATTGTTCTTTTATTGAGAATATAGGCCATTTCTCGATTGAACACAGCTTCTACTTTCTGCTACATACACATCTTCTCTGAGGTGTACCAATTTAATGCATCCTGGTAAACAACATAGTGATTTTGGTTGCTGTTTGAGACCAACTTTTACATTGGCATTTGCTGGTAACATTCTACGGTTATGCAGCAACTTGACACATTTGGATTCATTTTGTTGTAAGGTATTAACATTTGTGGCCTTTGGAACCTGCCGGCATTGTACCCACACTTTTCTTCTCATTGCCTCATAACTTAGCTGTTTCCATGGAACCATCTACAACCGGCCACTAATGCATGGGCATTGTTGCTATTGGTATACAAACCACAGAAATTTTAGTTGCACTAACAATCTCCTATAGCTGCAGTTGCAGGCGTTATTCTATTTCTTGAATGCATTCATTGACAGTGGTCACTGTCCCAACTTTAATCATTACAGAATTGAGCCAATATCCACTTGGGACTTTTTCATGTACAAGTAATGCTGATGCTTACAGCTAATTTAAATGATATGACCACATAGTGTACGCCTGGAATTTGGAGCACCAAAATTGTACCAGATGAAAATTGTTCACTTCAGAAATCTGGGAAGTTCCTTTCTTCCTTTGTTTCAGAAATCAATTTTATTCGATGGAAATTATTTAAAATATTTTTATCTGTTTAGTGTAAGTAAAAGTATTGTGAATCAATAGATAATTTTTTTTTTATAATTAAGAGAAGAGATTTAAATTTTACTTTTTAAATAAAATAATAATATATTAATTAATAAATCAAATATTTAAATACATTCTTATAACTAATAAAAATATTATAAAAATACATTCAAATATTTAATTCATTAACTAATATATTATTTTTCTACTTAAACAATAAAATATGAATCTCCTACTTCTAATTAAAAAAAAATACTGCTAAGGTAAAAATTGTGCGTGTCTCATATGAAACCCACGTGGCAAGAAATATGACCCACAAAAGTTCGACACGTGTAAAAGTACCACCAAGATATGAAAGGGTTTCTTTAACAACGCTGCCGTTCGGTTCAAACAAGCATGGCGCAATCTTCACTTGCGAACGTTCGGTTGAGATCTGGATATGACAGATCCTACGGTGAAGATCGGGTAGTAGGAGCAACATGATTTCTTGGTTTTAACACATTAATTAATGTGCAGCAATTGAGAAGAGAAGCATAATCATAAATAATTAATAAACCATTCCTAGTTCCTAGTTCCTAGTCCCTAGTAACAAGGGAAGCTGTGCACTGCTGTTTCTATTTCCTTCCTTGTTGTCCCTCTCCCATTCCGTCGCCCTCCATTGCTGCATTTTCTCAACCCTCTTTCTCTCGCGTCAAGAAGGGTTCAAGAAGAGGCATGCACAACTAAAACAAAATGCAACAACCAAGAGATACCCACTTGGTAAAAATGCTTTGACCAACCTTAAAAACTCTCCTTCATTCTCTTTTTCTAATTGCCAATGTGCCCTTCTTTTGACACTGCCGCTTTCTTTCATGTTCTTCTTTTCTTGGCAAAGTTTCTTTCATGTTCCTCAGCTCTATTGTAGTAATAATAATAAAAAATAGTTATATGGATGCGGTTGCAATGAAATGTTTTATTATGTTGCAAAAAGATACAACCTTGCAAGTGGCCACCCAGTTGCTGCTGTAAAAATTGTATTTTTAAACATTTTACTCTGCATTAGTATTTTTGCTTCTGGTTTTCTGGTTTCTGTGTGTGATGCCTTTCTCGCAGATGTGGACGTGTAGCCTGTGAGGATCATGTGGTTTAGACTTGAAATGTTGTTGGGCTAGTGGTACTTGGATCCAGGTCGTTACATTTGGTATCAGAGACATGGACAAGTCCAGTGTGGGCTTCCATATGAGTGGTCTTGATGAGATCATCATGGATTTGAGTGGTCAATCACTACTAATAATTTAAGTTTAAATTTACGTGATTTAGGTCTGTAACGTTGCTAAATCAGTGGTGTTGGATGTGATTTATTACCCTTTGAGATTAGAAAAATGTTTGGTCTCTGTGGAATGCGCTTTATTGTTGAAGGCAGTTGTTTAAGATTTCCCACTTTAATGAAGGAGAATGATGTTTGTAGTCATTTAATTGCATTATATGCTTTGTATTAAGTGACAATGATATTTAGAAATTCATATGTGATATTTCCTTTTTTCTACAGGACAAGGTATGTGATATTTGTGGTGATGTTGGCTACGGGGAACTAATTGAAACTTGCTCCCAGTGCTCAATTGGACGTCATTTGTAAGACAACCATCAGTCAATCTTAAATGTTTAATGGTTGTAATCTGCTGTTTGTTTCTGTTTTTATTAGGTATATTTTTATCAATTAAATGAAGAAGCAGCTGCATTAAAGTTCTTGCTTGATTCTGAAAATGTACCATATCATTTTTACTTGCATTTAACTAGGATAGTAGCACCGTAAATTGATTGGTTCTTATGTAGTTAATTGTGATATTTGTTTAACCTTCAATTCTAAAAATAATGTTGATTCTTTTGGAAGCTATTGCATGCGGAGGGTAGTGACGGACATGCATGAAGATTGGGTTTGTGAAGTATGTCTTTCTGAGAATGACATAGATTCTCTAAAACCTGGCCAGGCGGGAGATGTTTTGGATTCCTCTAGAAAACATTGTCTTGAATTGGGAAGACAGGTTGCATGTAAAAGGCCAAAGGGTGTTGAAAGAGGCAAAGTGAAGTTCCTCCCGACTGAGGAAGTCATTAAGCTATCATCAGGCTCACCAAGAAAGGAATTTCCTTTGAAGAGCAGCTTCAGATCAAAACCTGTCCCAGCAAAATTGACTGCATCTCTGTCCAAGAGGTCATTTATGGGACCCAAAAATGTAGGCGCTTCTTTTAACCCAATAAAGGTGAGATCAAATCCTAGTTTTTCACAGTTAGGATCTTCGACACCTCCTAGACGTGGTGGGCTGCAGATCATTTCATCAATTAGTCAGCATGCAGTCAAAACACCAAAGGAGTTAAAAGGTGATCTACTCTTGGACTTTGCCACTAGTTTGGTTTTTATTTTTTGCATAAAGTTTCTGTCTTGAGAAGTGTTGAAAGATGTAACAATGGAAGAAGTTCCAGATGGTGAGCTTGCTTCATTTAGATTATTTGTAAAAGTTTTTTGTTTAAACTTATCATTCAAGTTGCTGGAGTTGGTGCTTCAGGAAACAAATAGATACTTTTGAACTCTGTGTTGGGTTGGTATATGTTGGAGTTGGTTGGTCCAAATTATGATATTTTGTGAGCTTTTGGTGCAGTCAATTCCAAATATGATGTGCAAGTTTATCTTATGTTTTGTAATATCTGATGTCTTAAATCAAGGTTATTTATTGTCGTTGAATATTTTTTTTTTATGTGGAGCCGGAGTCCATTATGCTAAACTTTTAATCTTTGACAGGAACCTAGATTTTCTTTTCCCTGATGCTGGATAACAGGGAAAAAAATGAGACAATATTTGAACTTGATGCTAGTTTTCTTTTGGAAGTGCAAAAACTTATATGAGCATTGATGGCAAGCTTGATGTGCATATGGCAAAATGTGGCTGTTGCATTTTATTTTGCACGAATGATATAGATTTCATGCCCCTGTCTTATTAAAAAGCGCTCTATGTAGATTTCTCTTAGAATGTATTGCTTCTGTGCCCCACTGCAGAAGAAAAAGCCCCTCAGACACTTGCAAAGATATACAGTAGTAATGAAGAGCCAGTAATATCTGTTATGTCTGTGAAAGAAGTCAAGACTGTTAATGCTAAAGCAATGAACAAAATGAAACAGACATTGTCTGCATCTTCAACCTTAATGCTTAGTTTGCCTATCATCAATACAGGCAAGAAAGTTTCTAAAATGATATCATTTTGACTTGTTTGTTCTGTTTATGTGTTTTTCCTTATAGAAAAAAAACAAAAAACAAAACCCCAATGATTTGTTTTGGAAAAGTTTGATGGAATATTATGAAGAGATTTGCCTTGAAAATTACTAAAGATGCGTTTTCTTATTGGGATGCAAAGATGGAGGCAAAAGGTATCATATGATCTTTTGAAGTTCAAAAATGAAATTTTAGAAAGGTGAAAAATATTTTGTTCCAAACGTCTAGCATAGAAGTTTGGAATCTCATAAATTTAGCAGTGAGGTAAGAGACCAAGATTATGATCTTATAAATTATGCCCATTACTTATATTTAACATTTTGGTGCTATCACTCATCTCATCAATTTGACTTCCATGTAACTGCATTTTGATCTTAAATATTTTAGCAGAATTTACTTGTATGCCTGTTCCTTTTATGTGGTCATACTTCTGGTCTGAGTGAATCAACTTTTGAGCTTAGTTTTCTTAAAATTTAAATCATCATGGTGCAACTTGGTCGGAAGTATCAATTTTGAAGATCATCAAGTGGTCTAAATTGGTTTTTATAAAGCTACTGGTGCTGTATGCTTTTTGTTTGAGTTTATCCAATCATATTGTAGTTTTAGCTACTTGATTTATATGTGCGTATCTACCTAGTGCTGACATATTGCTGCTCTTATGTTCTTTTTTCAGTAGAAAGTGACCTTGTTGTTTCCAACAAAGAGAATGTTTGCAAGGGACATATATCGGATACCATCCTACCTAATAATAAGCAAACAATTCTTCCTACAAAGACAGAGGAGACTATGAGATCAAGCAGACCTTCACCATCAAGGCTTCATACAACTATTGTAGGTTCAGGCAAGAGAATATTTCTAATCACTTCACAGTACTCTACCTTTTGGAAATAATGATAAAACTATAAACTTGTTTTTCCAATTCTATGTGGTATCTAATATCCAGATGTTTGATCGTTTTCAAATTATAGTGGTGATATCGTTTATATTAATCTTTGTTTGTAGCTGAGCAATTTTAATTTACTTGTATATTTATGTCCTCTTTAAGCAAATGCTTTCTCAGATTGAAACTTTTATGATGCTGCTGAACCTGAGAATTTTGATGTTGCAGAAAGAGAATCCTGGAATATTCGGCTTAAGGTTTCCCTATACCGCCCACATCTTCCTGCTATTCATACTACCTGGATGTGAGTAACATGTCTTTCGAAGACATTGTACATACCATATTCTTTCTTCTTGTTGTGTAATTGTCGACTTGTTGAAAAATTGTATCAACATAATTCATCACATCTCAAAACAATGGCATGGATTTCTATACGTAACAATTTAAATAAATGGTACAACATTCTCAATAATTCAGTCCCCTTAGCATGTCAGGGCCTTTTGCATCCTCATGATGTTAAATGCTGTTTTTCCCTAGTTATGTATATGGCATGAAAACTTCATGAGGTCCTGCATATGTATTCCAGCATGCAATTTGCAATTAGGGTTTGCATTAATTGCTACTTTCAAAAGGTTTACTTTATTTACTCACAGACAGAAGTCACTGACATGCCTTCATATTGACCTTTTCTCATCCTTTTTTAGGGGAGGTTTCAAATTTCCTGATACTGCTACCCCAGGTGAATTTTATGGTGGTTTCCTGGCTCGGCCTCCGAGCAGAGTCCATCGTAAAGCATATGAGTTTACACAGAAAATGCCCCCAGTCCTTCAGGTTAATCTGCTTCGCCAGTGTCACCTTCAGGCAGATATACTCCAGAATGGTTGTCTAGATCTTTGTGACATTGCATTATACTTTTATCCTGTGGATTACACCGAAAGGTGCGTGCCAACATCGAATTCTGGCTTAAATTCATTTTCCTTTTACAATTTTAATTTTCGGCTCATTGTATTACTTGAATGGCTTCTTTGATGTGTAGATCCGAACAGAATTACAATCACACTGTTTCAGCGCATGGAGATAAAAAATTCAGTGTGACAAGTTACATTGATGTGTGAAGTTGGTTTGATTATTTTTACATCTAAACAGCTGCATTTAGACACACGGGGTAAGCTCTCTAGGCTCTCTGACTGTATTTTCTGTCAGCTTTCCTTCAGAACAATTTTTTGGGCATAGATTCTGGATTATTTAATGACAACAACACCTCTATAAAAGTTATGTTGTTAATGTCCAGAACACTTTGGTTCTGTTCACACAATAAAGAACCCAGTAAGAGTTGTTGAATGTTTGTACAATCTTACTTTTTGTTCCTAAACTGGCTAGATTCTTGGTTATGAATTATTAAGATTTTGAATATTGGATTTGAGATTCCTCCCTCTATTGATCCTCTCTAGTTTTCTCTCCCTAGTTCTTTTATTCCTCCCTCCAATTTCCTCTGTGTCTTCCCCTTTCCCTCTAAATTCTTTATCTGATCTCCAATTTCTCCTTATTTCCCCTTGTTTTACGTCAATGCCTTTACGAAGATAGACCAAAATTCTTGTGTTCATACTTTTTGGCTTTGCTATCTTTTATTGCTTAGATGGCTAAATATGCATGTTCAGATGTGATCTCAATGCCTTCATGAAGATGACTAATAATGTTGTTGTGTTATAGACTTGTTTACAAGGTCAAATACAGACTTTTTCTGTGGAGTCTTCTGCCATGCAAAAGATAATCAAATGAAGGGACATCTGGAACTTCCTTCGTTAGTGTCTCCTTTGGAATATACACACGATGATAATGCCAATATGAATAGCAGTGAGGCTGTTGATATGGATATCGACATGGTAGGTGAAAAAATTGTAGGGATTTCTGACACAGCTGTTTCAAAAGAGTCAACACGGGATTTCAATGAATGGGCTGTGAAAGAAACCCTTGATGCGATTACCAATAGGAAATTTTCGACTGTCTTAGAGGACTTGGATTCTGTGATTCAACCGATTTCATTAGAATTTGAGCAAGAATGCCGCAATGACTCTGATTTACCATCTAAAAATACTGAGAAAATCAAAAGCACATCAACTCTTAAGCCTCTTGAGCATCCATTGGAAAGCTCACTTTGTGGGTTGCCCAGTAGTATGGGTGAAACTTGCATCCTTCCTGGTTTTGAAGGCTTGTTGAAACTAAATTCTAGTAATAGAGCACCTAAAGCCCCAAGTGCAGAGGAGAAAAATTATTTGAATGAGAGAAGAATTGTGAGTCAAGTAAAAGAGGAGATTGGTTGTCAGGGTATCTTGCAAATAGCTTTTGGAGTTAGTAGTCCACAACGGCAAGGATCTATAGAAGATTACAGTTCACGAGGATCTCAAAAACAGCACCAGGTACTGAAAATATCATTCTAGAAAAATTTAAAGTTAATGTGGGTTTAAACTGTTTGAAAATTGTATTTCATACGTCTCAAACAGGTTTTGGCATGTCATTTGGTAAATGATCCTTCAGCTGCTTGTCCTCCTCCCTGTTTGTCAGGAAAGGGGACTAAAGTTGGATCGCTAATTAAAATTGAAGGAAATGACAATGAAAAACCCTTTGAAATGAGAGCGAAGAAAGGTCTGCAAAGTACATTATTCCTTAGCAAGGACAAATCTAAAATGGTTGCTGGTTCGTTTAATGGTCCTTGTGCTGTAGAGGTCAAAGCTGAAATTCAGGTGGAAGATGATAGAGTAAATAATAGTCATGGACTGCATGCCACATTGCCCGGCAACATGGAGACATCACAATGTTTGAGGCCTGTTGCTTCAACTAGGGTAAACTTGAGTGTAGCTGGGAGGTCAAGGGGGAATACTGGTGCTGCCAGTGCTGGTGGGCTAATTCGTGACAGATCAGGAAAGTGGATTGTTGGCTACAATCTTAACTTGGGCAGGTGCAGTTCTTTATCAACAGATCTGTGGGCACTGTTTCAGGGAATAAAGTTTACATGGGATAGAGGGTATAGGAAAGTTCTGGTAGAGTCTGACTCCGTTGCTGCAGTGGAATGTTTAAGGAAAGCCCCCTCTCTGCTGGATTCTAATATAGCCCTCATTAAGAGCTGCAGAGATCTTCTCAATCGTAAGTGGGATTGCAAAGTCCATCCTATCCAAAGGGAAGAGAACTTGTGTGCTAATTGGTTAGCTACTCATGTTGAAGGCTGTTTACCAGGATTGTCAATCATTAAGGTGCCACCTTTGGAACTAAATCCTCTTCTGGAAAATGATTGCGTTCGAGTTGCTCATACTCAGGATTCCCCATCTGCAGTATCCTTTAGCCACTGTAAATCCCACTGAATTATTGAATGTGAGAAAAGGAAGAGACAAAAGGACAGATATTTCTCCGTTGCCAAGTTCGGTAGCTCAAATACTATATACCTTTGTAAAGCCTCAACCATGGAATTCAACCTTTTTTGTCTAGTTGTAAAACACCAGGGCGTCCACCTGTTAGTTTAAAGTATGGTAGGTTTTATAAACAGAGTAAACCTGTAGCGTGAAATATTTTTTGTTATCCTCTAGGCGGCTGCCTCTTACATTTGTATCAACGACTGACTTGTGACTGAATTATCTAGTAGCTTATCATTGTGCCGTAGCGCAAAACTCCTTGAATGAGAACTCGACAGGAATGCATGCACTAGTTGACAAGATGGCCCTTTTTCCTATTCAATTTTGTTTTTAATGACGCAAAAGCAATGGTTAAGTTGCCTGCATTTTCTTATCCAGGTTGCGCCAAGAGGGCAAAGAGCAACCCATTAGGAAGAAACGTCGCCGTTGTCAATAAAAAAAAACAAAGCAATAATAAAATATTTGATTCATGTAAAAATAAAATAAAATAATTATTACATAGTTTTGATATGATGAACGAAATAAAATAAAAATAATTATTTTGATTTATTATAGTATTTAGTTTATAATAATAATTTTAAAATAAAAAATAAATAAATAAAATTATTTTTTATTATATATATTTATTTTATTTTTTAATATTAATATTTTATTTTATAATTTAATCATTAATATTATAAAATATTACTATTTTATTTATAATTTAAATATTATTAAGATTATTTATTTTAATTTTAATTTTAAATATTAATAATTTATAATTTATTTAAAAAATTAAAATTTGATAGTTTAAGTATTAATATTTTATTTATACTTTAATCATTAATATTA